GGTCGCCTTGAGTAGGAATCAACCTAATGGCAACACTAACATCATCATGTAACCCACTGCCATCAAGTCAATTGCAACTCACAGCGACACCCACTGGTTTTCCAAGGTGGTAAATCTTTATGGAAATTGATTGCCCCATCTTCCATCCACAGAAAGGCTGTTGGGTTTGAACTGCCAACCTTCTGGTTAGCAGTCAAATACCTCAGGCACTGTGCCACCAGAGTTCCTTTCATTATGTAAACGCAGAGCAACACAACCACTGCCGTGGAGTCAGATCCCACTCATAGCGACCCCTCCTTGGGTTTCCAAGGCGATATCACTACGGAAGTAGATTGCCCCATCTTCCTTCCGAGGAGACGCTGGTGGTTTTGAACCAACAGCCTTCTGGTTAGCAGTCAAATGCCTAGGACACCAGAGCTCCTTCCATTATGTAAAGCACTATGCAAATAGTATGCTCCCTTTTGGAAATACCTTCAGCTCAATCAGCTATTTTGCATTTCATAGCTTCGTAGCTACTGGGGGTGGGGTGGGGAATAAAACACTGTTTTCACCTCAAACTGCTTAGTTTAAGCTCTAAACAACCAAAAAACAAATCCGTTGCTGTTGAGTCAATTAATTCTGACTCATAGTAACCCAGGAGCTCTGGTAGTGTAGCGCCTAAGGCACTTGACTGCTAACCAGAAGGCTGGCAGTTCAAACCCACCAGATACTCCTCCGAAGAAAGGTTGGGCAATCTATTTCCCTAATGATATTACTGCCTCGGAAACCCAAGGAGGGGGCACTATGAGTCAGTCCGACTCCACAGCACATAACAATAACAACATAGTAACCCTGTAGGACTGAGTAGAAGTGCCTCATAGGGTTCCCAAGGCTGTAAATCTTTACACAAGCATACTGCCACATCTTTCTCCTGTGGAGTGGCTGGTGGATTCAAATTACCAACCTTTCGATTAGCAGTTCACTTCACCACTGCACCACCAGGGATCCTATCTCGAGCCCTAAGGAAGACCTATCTTTCTCATACTTTCTTTATCTATGATGGTTTTACCCAACATTAATCACACACCTCAACCTGTGCATCTTCAAGGATTTCAACCTGTCCTCCATAGAGTACCCCACTCAAAATGATATGGACATTCGCTTCAGCTGTTCTGTGTCCAAACAGAATTTGAAGTCACAAACGTAATTAGGGAATGTTGTCAAAACATTGATGGAAACGGTGAAGGAGAAAGACTTGAAGCCCTGGGAGTTTTCCTTGCTCCTTCTTTACCCCTCTGACCACATTGATCTTGCCAGACTTGCATCCCAGTGAAAAATGGAGACCTCTTCCTCTGCATTTAGCCTTTTTTTTTTTTTTTTTTTGTAGTTATTGTACTTTTATTTTTTAATCTTTATTGTGATTTGGGTGAAAGTTTACAGAGTAATTCATTTTCCATACAGCAATTCATACATTCTGTTCCATCACACTGACTGCGATTCCCCACAATTTAACAACCCTCTTCTCACTTTCTCCCTGTAGTTAGCTCTTCTTCCCTGTGTCCTTCTTTCCCATTCATTCCTGCCCAGAGCTGTCTCCCTATGCAAACACTGCCCTTCTGTTCTCCCATGATTGATCATTCTAAGAAGTATATCTACCTGATGTAAATGTTCACCCTACAAATCCTCTGAACATATTCCAGTTTGTTTATAATCTTCTTAAAGAAAGGTGCCTAAAACAGAACTTGTTAGAGTATATGGTGCCATTAGCAAAGAGCAGACTGAAACCATCATTTCCCTAGTTCTATATATTCTCATCTTTTCTACTTTATGCATAAGTTGATTTTTTGGCTTCAAAGGCAGAATATTACCCTTATTCCTAAATTTCACTTTCTAAGATGGGTGGGTTTATCATTCCTGCTATGAAGGTCTTTTTGAATCCTCATGATGCAAGTTACTGTTCCTTCTAACTCCTTGCCACCCACAAATGATATTGCATGCCTTCTCTATTTCATCTGGGCCACTGACAAAAATGCATTGAAATTTGTCCTTCATTTCGGAGGGTGCCACTCACAGGCCCTCCATTTAATCAAGAGTCTCACACTTCATTCGGTCTCACTCTGTTCTGTAGATCTTGTTTGGATGAGACTCAAGTGAGATTTAGTCACATTTCAGAGGAAACTCCAGGTTGACATTATCACTTTCAATGTCCTCTCTTAACACCCATATATGATCCCCCTACAGAGAAAGTCAACTTCTCTAGTTAGTACTCCCCCTACATTTTCTTCCATTCAGGGTCACAGTGAGCAGGACACAGGCTACCCAACCTTCCCCTTCCCAGCTACCCTGAATCCCAGATCCACCACTTGCCTAGTACTGGTTGTGTGAACTTGGGCAAGTTCCTTAGCATTTCTGTGCCTCCTTTTCCCATCCTGGAAATGGGGATAGCAACAGTATCTAGGAAATAAATCAATGCATGATAGTAATGATTCAACATGTTAGAAAAGGGGGTGGGGTGTTCCATTTCATATTCAATTTTTGGAGCTATTTCCAGAGAGGAAGAAGAAATCATAAAATAGAGAAGCTAAAGCACTAGAGATGTACTTTTAAATGTTAAGTTCTACTTTTACTTCATTTGTCCACTTTAAGATGTCCCATGGTACATACTATGCCCTCACTGAGAAACCAAGTCAGCCTTATTTTCTTTCCTCTTTCCCTTCCCTTGGATTTGATCTGTAGACACTGCTAAGACAGGAACAACAAACACAACTTTTAACTATTTATCCCAGGATGTAGAGGGTTCATGTGTTTTGGAAAACACTAACCTCCATGTAACTGTCCCCATTCCCCCAAATTTCCCTTTTACACAAGAATTGTCCATTGGGTCATGGCCATTCAAGCACAGGCCAATGATACATTAAATGAAAATGTACCTATTGAGCTTTATGAAGGGACACCTTTAATCTCTTAATTAATAAAATATCAGACAGTTTTTGAATGTCTAAGTTACTCTGAACTTCAGAACTTAAACAAACTCAATGTGAAAAATAAGCATTTATTACAAAAATTAGTTTTGACATTCTAAAATGAAAACAGACAAGGTGTTTTCCAACTCAAAAGGGCTGTTGTAAACTGGAGAGGTTCATTCCATGGCTGGTAAAAACTGACTCATCACAAGCTGCCTAGAGTGAGGAACCATTCACCTCAGACTTACAGGAGCAATGAGTCACCTCTGCTTCCCTCAGGCCTTTCTCCACATCCCTCCCACCCTGTCCTCCAACCATGACACAAAAGTGAAACATACTTTAAAAATCTCATTCTGACTGTACCATTTCATAATCTGTTTTTTAACTGGAATACTGTTTCCCTCTGGAAAATTTATTATTCATTGGTGCATGACCCTTACTGATGGTTTCGTTTGTTTGGTTTTATTTTCCTTTTGGATCCTTGATAGAACAATAACCTCAAATCTTTTGGGGATTTCTAGGTAGGGGACTAGATTATGGCAATGGGACGCATTAGTATCCTCCACACAAAGAAATAAGCAAAACCAACCCAACAGGATCCCTTATTTTACCTCTTGTTACTTAATAAATAGATCTGGAAATGGGTTCAGAGATTACAGTAGATAGCGGAATTGAAGTTCAAGGGCAAAGAAGGGTCCAAATGAAAAGATGGAAAGTGATGACACTATCCTACTTATTCCCACTCTCATATACACACTCCACCCATCTCATACTCCCACTCTCCTAAGTAAGGCTACATCTCCAAATGACTTAAGAAATCTCTCTGCCTCAGGCTTTGGGGTACTTTTTCCTATAGCCTCAGAGAAATCCATCAATATACTTGGCTGGGCAGGAGGTCGAAGGTGGGCACTTTCTCCTCATTTGGTGGAACAGGCCAAGTAGAAGTTCAGAATACATCAACAGCTTTGCCCTGGGTGCCCACCTCCAGTAAAGGGCAGGCCTGGCCACAGAGGGTTCTGAAGCTCTGCCCTGAAATAGAAACTAGAAAGGGGCAGCATCAGGAGGCAGGACAGAGAGCTGGGACCAGCCCCAGCCTGCTAGGAAGTAGGGCTTTGAGGCATTTTCCTGTTTATACAAAGAAGGAACCCAGGAACCTTCCAAGTCTCCTCCCCTACCCCTACAACAAGAATCATCAACAAATCAAGTTTTTATTTCCAGCAACATCCAGGTACATACAGACACACATTAACACAATCTCAATGAAGAGCTAAGAAGCCCTCTAACACACACACAATCTCACACACATCACCTACAGACACATCTTTAACAGGTCTTTCCAACTGTTCCAGCCAAGGGAAGGGCGATGGCTTGAGTTACCAGCTCCAGCTTTGTTTTCTTTAGATCAATGGTTTTAAAACTTATTCACTTCATGTTTCCTGAAAGCTTACTATGCTCTCCAATGAAAGCTCCAATTTCCTCTATAGACATGGTCTATGTCAGTCTGTTTGTGTTCAAGAGGAAGATGGTGCAGGATTCCAGTGGCACTTCCCATGTGAAGACAGAAGAGGGAGTAGGCTCTGGAGACAGAAGGGACTTGATGCCATCATCACAAACAACTACTTCAGCAGTTCCAGCCTTCAATCCTCATTCTAGAACAGCTCAGTCCTAGAGAAAACTGCTTAGAAACAAGGCTCAAGAACCCTATTCAAAGTCTATCAGTGGACAGTGAGCACAGTATATTCCTGGGAGCCTGGCCATTTGTGCTATCTACTAAGAAGGGAAGTCACCAAGTAGCACTCAGGATTTTGGCCTGGCTCCACATAGGGTTGAAGACTGAAAGCTTGACATAAGTCCCAAGCTACTCAGCAGGGCAGGAAGGGAGAGCATGAAAAAAACAAAAAACAAAAAAACCACAATCTAACTAAGATAAAAGTGGGGCCCCTGATGGGGGCTATAAGACAAATAAGGCATCCTGTGAAACTATATACACCAGGAACCAGGGCCTGGTAGCACCTGAGTAAGACAAGCACAGAGGACAAGAGATGAGCTGGACCAGGGTCACACCAGGAATGATGAGGTCTGTCTGAACTCCCCCTGTGGAGAAAAAACTTCCAGTCAACTCTCTGTAAGATTCTTTAGCTGGTAACCCCCAACATAAACACAGGCTAGAATCCCTCAGCCCAGCTAGAAGAACCTCCCTGTCCCAGGCAGGCATACTCACTTCAGTTCGAGCAGTGGGCTGGCTATAAATCACCTTCTTACCCGAAGTCCTGTAGATAAGCCAGAAGACACAGGCACTCAGTCCCCAAGCCCTTATGTTAACCTCTATTTGCCAAATTTATATGCCAAACTGAAAAATTTAAGGGAAGCAGGGAGTGGTCGGTAGAGAAGGAAACAGCACAAGCCCAGGGCCACATGAGATCAGGGGGCAAAACCCAGATGTCCTCCCAACCAGGTTGGTTGCCTCCACCTCCAACCCCTTCCCCTGGCCCCATTTCAGCTTCAAACCACATGCATCCATGCTGTCAACCTCAGAGAGCCCTAGGTCAGCACCTCACTCACCCTTTCTTTGCTCCTGAAAGAGAAGAAATAGATGACAAGTGTCAGCAGAATAGTGTCAGCATAGTACAGGAAGATGGGAGAGCTACCGTGCAGCACTTAATATGTTAAGAGGGGTAAGTGGTGGTCTTAGAGGAAAATCTTGGAACACATAAGCATAGTATCTGTGCCAGAACTAAGATGAGGCCCATGAATCATGCCCTGGAAGGGGAATGATATGAAGAGGCTTTGAGGGCAAATACTTACTCTCAAAGTAGCCTCGGCTATAGGCAAACCAGATGCCAAAAATCAGGACCCCCAGGAGAATCAGTGTTACGAGGACAGCTGCCACGATGCCCCCCACATTCAGCTCCGCTATGAGACACAAACAAGAGGCCAGGCATCTGGGTGCTCACTCTGGATACTGACACCACCACCACCACCAGGATGAAAAACAGACCCCGGCCCCCCATGCTACCCTATCCCAGGTCTGAGCCTGAGGCCCAGCCACATTCTCACTTACCAGCTTCCATGTGCACAGCATCAGATCTCATGGGTGACCCAAACCCATTCTGTGCCTGACAAGAGTATGCTCCAGTATCAAAAGTTGACAAGGGATCAAAGATCTAGAAGGTAGAAAACAAATGGGCTTCCTACTTGAAGAAGCCAAGTCCCTATTATTTTATGCCTCCTGACCCCAACTCCATAACTCAAAAAAAAAAAAAACCACCAAAACCCACTGCCACTGAGTCGATTCTAACTCACAGCAACCCCCCAATGGGTTTCCAAGGTGGTAAATCTTCATGGAAGTAGATTGCCTGGTCTTCCTTCCACAGAGTGGCTGGTGGTTTTCAACCACCAACCTGATTAGCAGTCAAATGCCTTAGGCACTGAGCCACCAGAGCTCCTTGACTCCAACTCCAAGTTCATCTTATTCTCTGTTCTTCTTTCAGGAGTTCTATAATCATGTTTCCCACCACCACTGCCTTTCACTTCCACCCCATTCATACCAGCTCCCCTGTTTTTTGATTCAGGGTATAAGAAGAGTTGATGAAGGCACGGTTGCTCTTGGGCTCTGTAGGGATCATGATCCCATCTCTGAACCAGAAGTATTCAGAGGGTGGGGAACCGTCTTGCTCTGAGCAGGTCAGCACCACCCGGTTCCCGATGGTAGCAGAGGAGGGGATGTTGACTGTAGGCTTGGATGGAGGCACTGGGGAGGGGGAGAAGGTGCTGAACACAAGGGCAGGGAGATGACAAGACAGCCCATCCATCACCATTAGCTTCCTTACAGACCCCACCTTAAGTTTCCACCTAACCAGGGGCTCATCCCTTCTCCCCAGCAGTGCTGAACCTTAACAAACCATCCACACAGCATTCTCACCATCAATAAGCTCTTAGTCCTAACAAAGCCTGCTAGGGCTTATGGAAGTAACTGAGGCCCACACAGAAGACACAAGGCACATACCAAGCACAATGAGCTGGACGCTGACCTCCCCATAGTTGTTGCCACCCTCTTCAGAGACCATACACGTATACATTCCAGTGTCTTTCCGGGTCACAGAATGGAAGGTGATGCCGTTGTGTAAGAAGGTAACTCGGTCCTCATAGGAAGCTACCAAGAGAGAAGAAGCAGGGAAGGTACAGAGTAAGCTGGAAAGCTGAGGAAAGATGACAGTGAAGGTGGCATGCCTTGCAAGGGCCCTCTTTTTCCCCCAGGAAGGCAATGGGAAGGTTATGGGGACTTGAGCCTCAGGGTGTGCCCCTTCCCTGGAGTTCTAATCCCCACCAATGATCCCACAATAACCCAGTCAGAAGAGGGTGGAACAACTCACCTGTGATCTTGCTGTTGTAGCAAACGAGGCTGGTGGTGTCACCTTGGACAAACTTCCACTCCACACGGGGAGAGGAGAAGCCGGAGTAGGAGCAGTATAATGTGGCAGCTGCAGGATCAAAGTGAGCAGGAGAAAGGTACATCAGCAAAAGGAAAAGATGGAGAGTGGTCCAAAACCACAGGCTGGGCTGATACCTGTCCACCCTCATGCCCACTGCCCACTTTCAACAGCCCCTCCCAACTCACCATTATTCTCTGCAACTTTGACTACAGGTTCAGAAGTGTACACTGAACCCTTGCTCAACACCAGGGGGCCTGTGAAAAAGGAGAGGGGGTTGTCCATCAGGAGCAGATAGAGAAGTGCATGGAGAAGGAAGGGCAGATCTAAATGACAAGGGATCTGAGACCTGGGCTCTCCAAGGACTTCTCTAGGCTGAGATCCTAAGGGGGAGGGATTCAAGAGATCCAGCATCCTCCTGGGCTCACATCCTCTCACCGTTATCCTAAGTATCTTCTTTAAATGTTTTCTGCTACAATGGCAGGCCAATACTTCCATTATCAATGGAAATAAAATATTTCTTTCACAAATGCAATTTGTTTCATTTTTAATTTTTCCTTCTGTGACTCCCAATAATCTAACGAGATTCCTGCTCATCTAGGGGCAGCTTCCAATATATCATGGTTGAGAGAAAGCATCTCAATAAATAATTGCAGCCACTTGTACAACAAATCCTGGAAGGAAGCCAGCAAAGCTGGAGGCAAAGGAGGGAAGGAAAGGGAGGAGAACTAATGAGGATAATAACAATGCTCAACATTTGTATAACATTTGTGCCTTTTAAAGTGTTTTCACATACATTATATTGTTTGATCCTTGAAACAAGCATGACAGATCATCCGGACAAGCATCAAAAGTTTACACAAGGAACCAAGACTGTAAGAAGTTAAGAACATGCCTAAAATCACACAGCTGGTCCTCAGATGGAGTTAGGACTAGCACTGGACTCAGATCACCTCGCAGGACTCTCCCACTGCCAAATGGAGAAAGGTAAAGAAAAAGTGGTGGGGGGTGACACAACAGGGGGTCACAGAAGAGGCTAACACATTCCAAATGAAGACAGAATTCTGGGATAACGCCATAATAATTGTGCTATAAAACTGCACTCATACAATTACTCTCATGCATGTTCTCAGAGACCAAATTCATGAAGTATGCTTTTATTTAGCTTTTAAGCCAGAGCCCCATCTTCCTTATTAGATAATGCATAAAGATTTGTGTAATGTTAACACATCTGTAAAATGCAAATAACATTTTTCATTCAATTACTAATGTCAATATGCTCTCTTGACCTTAGAGACTCCCCTTCCTCATCTGAAACTTGAGAAGTTTGCTCTAAAGTCCTTTAGGTTCTTTTCTTTCTTTTGCCACTAATATTTAGAATACATTAATTGCAATTTGATGCAGCAACACTGTGAAAGTCTGGATAAGTATTATCGCTCCACTTTAATTTTAGACAATTAAGTGTCTAAAAGGTTAAGGCCCAAAGTTTCATAGCTAAGAAGGAAATGGCAGAGCTAAGATTAACCTAGAGGTGTCTTAACTTCTTTATCTATTATATCTTTTTTGTAAACCATGCTTTTTCTCAGAAAAGCCATTGGTAAATGGAGGCAAACTGTAAGAAAATTTCATTCTTATTTAAGGCAAGTTCCTTTTATGTAGAAATTATTCCTAAATTATTACTTTGTATCTGGTTATTTGGCATTACATTTTTAATGCCAAGTCTAGTCTATACTCAAATGTATTAACAGACACAGAAATGAAATCAAATAGACTTTACTAAACTGATAACTTATGAGGACAAAGTCTCTTGCTCAGTGCTCATCAAGAATGGTGGTAATGACTGCATCTGCTTTGAATATATGTAACTAAAATATTGATGAGGATGTGATTGAAGTTCTACATAATTTATAATTAGTAAGATTCTATTATGCATAAAATAGACATTATAAAAATTAAAAATGTTTGTGATTCAAAGGACACCAACAAAAAAGGAAAAGACAACTCAGAAAATGAGATAAAATTAATGCAAATCTATCTGATAAGAGACTTGTATCTAACATGTATAACTATTACAATTGAGTAACAAAAAGAGATTTCCCCAAAGAAGATATACAAAATGGTCAACAAGCACATGAAAAGACATCCACCATCATTAACTATCAGTGAAATGCAAACTAAAACCAAAATAAGATACTACTTCACACCTACCAGAATGGCTTTAATAAAAAATATGGAAGTAACAAGTGTTAGGATGGATGTGGAAAAATTAGAACCCTCCAAACATTGCTGGTAAGAATGTAAAATAGTGCAGCCATGTTGGAATACAGTTTAGCAGTTTCTCAGAGTCAAACAGAGTTACCATGTGACCCAGCAATTCCACTCCTAGGTATACATCCAAGAGAAAGGAAAACTAATGTCTACACAAAAACTTGTGCATTCCTGGGAAGATGGCAGTGCAAACAAACCATAGTTCCAAACCCTCCCCCACAGATATAACAAGGAAATGGTGCTTCTGAATTGGGGAGCAAAGGAAAGCACTGGGGAACTAAAGACAGGCAAATAAGAACAATGAGTTATATATGATGGGAAAATCACTTCTCCCATTGTCCCTGCTTCTACCCCAGCCACATGGACTTTTGGCTACTATAAACTGGGATAGTGGCCCCAGAAAAAAGCGCCTACTTCCCTAACCACCATAGCTCCTGCTATGGCAAGACCCAAAGCTTCTGCCCTAAAATCAACATGGCACACTGGGTCCCTGGGGGTCCATTTGGAGTGTGCCAGCACATTCCCTACCCAGACAAGCTTCAAATTGCTACAGAAGGCCCATGCAGGGCTGTTCTCATAGTCAATGCTCTACCTACCTCCCTATATACCCCGTAGCTCAGGATTCTGAAACCAACAGGACAGACCTCCCTAGGGATCAGAGTTTGGGTCTGTTTGTTCTCCCTTACAGCCAAAGTAGAGGACTGCTGACTGAGGCTGCTATGTGCCGGGAAGCAGGCATCTTGAGTGGAAGCTATACCCACAGCCAACATACTATGTGTGTGTGTGTGTGGGAGGGGTTTTGGCTCTGATAGCAACAAGGCAGCTATCAGAGCTCTCTGGCAATCCACTCAGGCTGCATGGACTGGTATGACTTCCTACAGAAGGTTTCCTACGGTGGAATAAAAGTAATTATTATTATAAGAATAAAGGGAAAAAAGTGTATGTGTTGTTGTTGTTGTTACTATGGAAGTAGATTGCCCCATCTTCCTTCCGAGGAGTGGCCGGTGGGTTTGAACCGCCAGCCTCTGGTTAGCAATCAAGTGCCTTAGGCACTACGCTAGGAGAGCTCCTAGAAGTATGTTATATGTTACTAAGTCTATATTAATGAGGGAGGAACAACTCAGAAAAAGAGGGTGAGAATGGCAGCATAACTTAAGAATGTAATCGATGTCACTAAATTGTACATGTAGAAACTGTTGAATTGGTGTATGCTTTTCTATGTCTATTCTCAACAAAGACAAAAATAAATAAAATTTAGGAAGCTTGTACATGGAATGCTCATAGCAGCATTATCATAATATTCCAAAAAAAGAAAACAATCCAAATGTCCATCAACTGACAAATGGATAAATAAAATGTGGTCTTACCCATACAATCTACCACCTGCCTTTCAGTTTGTAATACTGTGGTGGCTTACATGTTGCTATGATTGATGCTGGAACCTAGGCCAAATACCAGCATGGTCATCCATGTTGGACAGGTTTCATCAGAGCTCCCAGACAAAGGCAAATTAGGAAGAAAAGCCTGGAAATGTACTTCTGAAAATTAGCCAATTAAAATCCTATGGATCACAACAGAATGTGATCTGATACAGGGCTGGAAGATGAGCCCTCTAGGTTAGAGGGCACTCAAAATACACGGTGGCCACAACAATGGACTCCAGTATACCAGCAATTATAAAGATGGCACAAGACCAGTCAACGTTGATTTTGTTGTACACGGGGTCACCATGAGTCAAAAACCGACTCCAGGGCAACTCACAACAACAACATCCATATAATGTAAAATTATTTGGCCATAAAAAGGAATGAAGTACTGATACATGCCACTGCATGAATGAACCTTGAAAACATTATGCTAAGTAAAAGAAGTCAAACACAAAAGACACATATTGTATGATTCTATACACAGGCATATCTCATTTTACTGTACTTTCTAGATACTGCATTTTTTAGAAATTGAAGGTTTGTGGCAATCCTGCTTCAAGCAAGTCTGGCAATCCTGTGTTGAGCAAGACTACTGGTGCCCTATTTCCAACAGCATGTGCTTAGTTTGTGTCTCCATGTCATATTTTTGTAACTCATAATATTTCAAACTTTTTCATAATACACTTAATAAACAACCAAAGCAAACTTACTGCCATCAAGTCAATTCTGACTCATAGAGTTCCCCCATTGGGTTTCCAACACTGTAAATCTTTACAGAAGCAGACTGCCTCATCTTTCTTCTGCAGAGCAACTAATGGCTCTGAATTGCCCAGCTGCTAGTTAGCAGTCAAATGCCTTAACCACTACACCCTCAGAGCTCCTTAACAGACTACAGTATAGTGTAAAAATAACTTTTATAGGCACTAACCAAAAACCTCACTCCCTGCCATCGAGTCAATTCCACTCATAGTGACCCCCATTGGGTTTCTGAGGTTTACGGAAGCAGACTGCCCCATCTTCCTTCCACAGACAGTCAAATGCCTTAGGCACTGTGCCATGAGAGCTCTTTTTATATGCACTAGAAAAAAAGAAACAAACCAAACTCATTGCCATTGAGTCTATTCTAATTCATGGCGACCCCCACTGGGTTTCCGAGGCAGTAAATCTTTATGGAAGTAGACTGCATCATTTTCCTTCCGTGGAGCAGCTGGTGGGTTTGACCACCAACCTTCTGATTAGCAGTCAAATGCCTTAGACACTGTGCTACCAGAGCTCCTTTTTTGTATTCACTGTTGTTGTTATGTGCCATTGAGTCGGACTGACTCATAGCAACCCCTCCTTGGGTTTCCAAGGCGGTATCACTACAGAAGTAGTTTACCCAACCTTCCTTCCAAGGAGTGGCTGGAAACAAAAAAGTGTGTGTGACTTGTTTTACTGCAGTAGTCTGGAACCAAACCTGCAATATCTGAAGTATGCCTGTATGTGAAATGTTGAGGATAGACAAATCCAACAGAAAGCAGACCAGTGGTTGCCTAGAGTTTGGGGGAGGGATGGCAAAGCAG